GATTGCGATGACCATATCCTTATCTTTCTTTTAGGGGTATTATCTATATTTTCTCTTTCCCTATTTAGGAATAAATAAAGTTTGGTGGCGACTCTATTAAGTCCATCCCGCAATCGTGCTATTGCGCTTCACGAGACCATCATATTCAAGGTGCGACAAGGATCCTGCAATTTGATCGCCTATATAGACGATATTTTCTTTAGCTCATGGAGTTCCTGCAAGAAGATAATAACCAGCAAACACAAATTCTCTAAATTAATAAGGCGATGCGTCTCATTAAAAACCCTTATCCCACAAGAATAGTAAAGGTAAAAAGTGCACCCATAAATTTATGCTTACAATCAGCAAAGATTTGGTACTCACATATAAAAAATCAATAATAAAGTAGCTAAACAATAATAAAGAGAAAAAAATAAAATGATAACACTACGGGTGGCTCCAGGGGGCATCCCTTATGGACCCTCAATCTTTGATTTCTTTATTGTGTAGAGGTGGAGCCCTCCCGCCTTTATGAACTTCCTCCAACGGATTTACTCAAAAACTTTCCTTCCTAGCGCTTGCGCCTAGAGTGCATACTCTCTTTAGCTTATGGCTCTCCACATAACATTTTCTAGAAAATTCTTGGTCTGCTTGAGTAACTCCTACCAGCCCATTAGGGAACATATACTTCATACATAAATACATAGTTAACAAAGCGGTTCCCAGCTAGTTAAAATCTAGCCACCCTATAATCATATTGTAGGAAGATGGGACATCAATAACCAAATACCTGACATTTATTTCTTTGGCTTGGTCCTTCTCTCCAAAAGGGATCTTCAAGGTGATGTATCCTTTTACTTGTATTTGTTCTCCAGAGAATGCCACCAATGATCATTTGAAAGGCTTAAAGTCTTTTGGGTCGAGACAAAGTCTTTCAAATACATCCTAGTAGAAAATGTTTGTAGAACTTCCTTGGTCTAAGAGGACTCTTTTGATCCGATATATTCACATTTGATGGTAATGACCATTGGGTCATTATTATGAGGGTGAATGTCAATTGTATTTTTATCAAATAATATGGTCATAGCTTCTGGTGCTTGGGTTTCAGCTTCACTTTTGACGTAAGGGAGGTCATCTATGTTCAAGATTTGACGAGTGTACCATTTATGGGCAAGCTAGTCTCCCGCCCCCGACAAATCCTCCTGCTATGGTGTTGAGTGTGTGGCACACAAACTTACTACCCTCGGCCTGAGATACCCATTTCTCTTTGTTAGACTTGAAGCTTTCTATATATTCTCGCCTTCGCGAGTTAAACTTGTTTGATGTATTGGAAGGTTCGCCCTTCACATATTTTTTCAGGTTTCCCTCCTGGATTAGTCTATCAATTTGCTTCTTGAGCTGGTAACAATCTTCAGCGTGGTGTCCCTTGACTCTATGGAACTTGCACCATCTTCCCGGTCCAAGACCCATTACATCCTCTTTTGAAGCGGGCGATGTAAGGATGTTGTACATGTGGATAACCTAGGGCCAAATATGTTCACGACGGGTCTCTAGGGGCGTGGAGTTCTCTACCGCAGTCTTGTATTTTATGGGAGAGGTATAATTGCTCTTCCTTTGGTGGAGTGAACCTTGACATTGGGAACACACTCCTTGACATCGCGTGCCTTCTTTTTGGCGTTACTCTCCTCACCTTTTATGTAATATTCTGCTCTGGTGACCACTTTCGCCAACATGACCACTGGCTTCTGGGGGAGAAACTCATTAAAGTGTCATGCCTTGAGTCTGTTTTGAAATGCCCCCATAAATATCTCTTGGTTTGGTGGGATGACCTTGATGGTGGATACATTAAATCGGGTGAGATAGTCTCTCAACAACTCTGATGGACCCTAACGTATGTTAAACAGGATGGTTATGGACATTTTCCTGTGACGACTGGCAGCGAACTTGTGCACAATCTTTCTTACCAGCTCCTAATAGCTGGTGATGGAGGCACGAGGGTAAACCCATATACCATCGAAGGGAGACATCCCTACAAATGCTAGATAGCAGTTTGCACTTCAAGGAGTCAGATGCTTCTATGAAGGCCAACTGTGTGTTGATGGAAGTGACATGCTCATAGGTGATCGATGCACTCATTAAACTTGGCCAAGGAGGGATGCTTGAATCCCTTGGGGGAGGGTTCCCCATATCTCGTATGAGAGTGGTTAGGTATCCAACAATTCCATCTCCTCCGGGGGGATTGGACTCTTGGTGTTGTTTGATGTTGGGAACATCCTCCTCTAGTGTTTGGTTATAGCGGCATAATTCGTTCATGGCTGCATGCATCTTCGCCAGGGCATCGCCATCACCCCAATCGCTGATACATTCTAGCATAGGGATGAAACTTTCCTGTTAACCCATACCAAAAATGGCTAAAGGATAATAGTGAGTAGAGTGGTGGTGATGAAGAAGGTGTGACCCATGTTAGTTTTACCGGGAGCCCCACGATGGACGCCATTGTACTGATAATAAAGTACAGGTGTGTATGTTCCTCATACATGGGTAAGGGGACTCAGAGGCCTTAGTAGGTATATTACGTTGTATGGTGGTTAAAACTTGTCCAGGACGACGAGAAGCCCTATATGTGTTGGGAAAATAAAAAACAAATTTCTATGCACGCGGAAGCAAACCCACAAAAAAGAAAAAGAAGCAAAAATTCCAAAAAAAACTCGTAAAATCCTAATTCAACTTGTAATTTTTACAAGGAAAAATTACAAACTCTCTCATACAATTGTAATTTTTAAGAAGAAAATTGCAAACCCCCCAAATTACGATTTTTGAACGGAAAAAATTGTAAACCTTATCTCAATTACAATTTTTGGACGGAAAAATTGCTAACCCTCGCTCAATTATAATTTTTGGAAGGAAAAATTGCAAAGCATCTCTGAACTACAATTTTTGGACGAAAAAAATTATAAACTTTCTCAACAAACTATTTTTAAACGGAAAAACAGAAAACCTTCTCAACAAATTATTTTTGAACGGAAAAATAGAAAACCTTCTCTAGACACACAACTATCCAAATTTCCAATACACCGAAATGATTATATTTTGTTGTTGTGTAGAAAACTAAAACTAATCATCTTTATTTATATTAATACTCAAATTCTATTTTCTTCCTACTACACGATTACCCGATGTGGGACTTGGATGAATATACTATTTGACCCAACAATATGGTGGTATTTTACGGTGGTTTAGAGACCTGCTCATGTGAGGTGAGACACTGTTATTGAGTGATGTGTTTAGTTTTAAACATATATGGAGTGTGATCTGTATGACTTAAGATCTATCTTTTCTCCCACGAGGGAGATATATTTATAGAGCCATTTTTTAAGGGCTAGTGTTTGGGTAACCCTTGGGGCGGCAACTGTTTCCTTGTGATCAGGAGAAGTTATTGACCACCTAGTTTTTAGACTATAATGGTAGACTCCATCTCTTTTTGACTAACGACATTACACACGAAAACCCTATGAATATCGCCTAGACGACACCATTCTTAAGCGAAGACAGTTTTGTTTAGAAAACTCACAAAAATATATTACAAGTTATAAACACATATTTTAGATGTGAAAAACACTTTCAAATATTCTCGAAATATTTTTTAAGTACCATGCTAACGAGTATCCCAGAACTCTTTTTAAAGATATCAACTAAAAAATATATTAATTATTAAAATCAATTATCTCAATTATCAATTTTAATTTTTTATACCACTTTAAGCACTAAATAAATTGAATGCAAAAAAAGGAAAATAAAAAATAATAAAAAATCTTTATATAGTAAATAATCAAAAATGGAAAATAATAAAGAATAAATATTATATTAAAATTATAAAGTAAATTATAATTTTAAACAACTTTTTCATAATACTTATAGTAATTAGGTAGTACTCCTATTATGGATGAAAAAAATAGAAAATCGTTACTATGTAGCAATAAATGTTTTTATTGCAAGTAATAATCAGTTATTATGTCTGTCCTAATCACAACAAAATGATTTAGAAAAGCAATCATTAACGAGGGCAATTACGTCATTCACCATATCCTCTGGCTTTTATTAATTGCATTGAAAAATCATTAATGTTATTAATATCATCAATATTAATTTCATACACAAGCGCGAATATATATACAAGAAAGAAAGTGTATAGACTTCAAATCTAAATCTGCGTAGATTTCCTCTTCACTTCCAACTGTTTCTCTAAACTCACGTATTCTTTTCTTCTCATTCTCTTGCTAATTTGTAAGTTGTTTCTCACTCCAACTTTTTTTTTTATAATTGTTTTTATTGATATGTGTCATGCCCCATTTGATGTTTTGGATTTTGTTACTTTAAGGATTTGAAATTTGTGCTAATGGGTAGTTTTTGTGATCTGGGTATTGCTCATTTTTGTTGGATCTGTTGTGGTTTAGGAGATGATCATTAGATCTGCGTTGAATTTGTTATGCATTAAGCTAGGGGTGTGTGTTGTGTGTTTTCATTGCCTGGGTTGATTGAAAGAGAGTGTAAAATTATAGCTTTAATTTTGCATTTTTTTTCTTCCTCATAGTGTTAATAGCTTTGTAGCATTCACATCTCTGGAAGCGACATTGACATTTGTGATTACATTTAATTTATTATTTGTGATTACATTTAATTTATTATTGGTGCTGATGTGTTTGTGTGGTGTTTCTGATGTCCGTACTTCATAGTTTAATGGTTAGATTTATTGTAATTTACTCGTAAATGATATATTGAATTGAATTTTTTTACTTAACAAATGGATCATGAAAATGTGTTGCTAAAAGGTTTGACTTTTTTTTATCTTCGAAGTAGAAGGTTATTTTGTTTGTTATGAGATTAACAGCTTTTGAAGAATGCCATGTTTTTATTTTAGTTTATGTGATTATTTAGTGAAAGGGAATGTTTTGATTTAATTTTTCAGTAGTTTTAATTTGTATTTGTATATGCAATTTTTGTTATTGTAGAAGTTGCTTGATATGACTACTCATACCCCGAAAAATATCCTGATTACTGGGGCAGCTGGATTCATTGCATCTCATGTTGCCAACCGGCTTATCCGTAATTATCCCGATTACAAAATTGTTGTTCTTGACAAACTCGATTACTGTTCGAATCTGAAGAATCTAATTCCTTCGAAATCGTCCCCCAACTTCAAGTTCGTGAAGGGGGACATTGGAAGTGCTGACCTTGTCAACTACCTTCTCATCACCGAGGCGATTGACACGATTATGCACTTTGCTGCTCAAACTCATGTTGACAACTCTTTCGGTAATAGTTTTGAGTTTACCAAGAACAACATATATGGTACTCATGTCTTATTAGAAGCTTGTAAGGTAACTGGACAGATCAAAAGATTCATCCATGTAAGCACTGATGAGGTCTATGGAGAGACCGATGAGGATGCTATTGTAGGAAACCACGAGGCTTCTCAGCTACTTCCGACGAATCCGTACTCTGCAACAAAAGCTGGGGCAGAAATGCTTGTCATGGCATATGGTAGGTCGTATGGATTACCAGTGATCACAACGCGTGGAAACAACGTCTACGGCCCTAATCAGTTTCCTGAGAAGTTAATTCCAAAGTTCATCCTCTTGGCATTACAAGGCAAAGTTCTTCCGATTCACGGTGATGGTTCGAATGTGAGGAGTTATTTGTATTGTGAAGATGTTGCAGAGGCTTTTGAAGTTATCCTTCACAAGGGAGAGGTTGGACATGTTTACAATATTGGGACTAAGAAGGAACGGAGAGTTATCGATGTAGCCACCGATTTATGCAGACTCTTCTCGAAGGATCCAGAGATTAGTATTAAATATGTAGATAACAGACCATTTAATGATCAGAGATACTTTCTTGACGACCAAAAGTTGAAGAATTTGGGTTGGTCGGAGAGAACTAGTTGGGAAGAAGGCTTGAAGAAAACCTTGGATTGGTATATCAAAAATCCTGATTGGTGGGGTGATGTGAGTGGTGCATTGCTTCCTCATCCAATGCTGGTGATGCCCGGTGGTATGGAGAGACATTTCAATGGATCTAAAGAGGAAAACTCATCATATGTCTCAAATACGAATACTCGAATGTTGGTTCCGACCACCAAGAACGTTGGGTCTTCGCAGAAACATCCTCTCAAATTCTTGATTTATGGAAGGACAGGTTGGATTGGAGGTTTACTCGGGAAATTGTGTGAGAAACAAGGGATTCCTTATGAGTATGGAAAAGGGCGCCTTGAGGATCGCTCATCACTCGTGGCTGATATTCAAAACGTGAAGCCAAGTCATATTTTCAACGCAGCAGGAGTTACCGGAAGACCTAATGTTGATTGGTGTGAATCTCATAAAACGGAAACAATCCGTGTCAACGTTGCAGGTACTTTAACATTGGCTGATGTTAGCAGAGAGCATAACCTTTTGATGATAAACTATGCTACCGGGTGCATATTCGAGTACGATGAAGCTCATCCAGAAGGTTCAGGCATTGGTTTTAAGGAGGAAGACACACCTAATTTCACCGGTTCTTTCTATTCCAAAACTAAAGCTATGGTAAGTAAATCAAGATTTATACTTTTGTTCCCTTTCCATTATGATTATTGATTATGAATATGAATATCTCTTGATAATTAATCTATAAATGTTTCTTAGGTTGAAGAGCTCTTGAAAGAATATGACAATGTATGCACTCTCAGAGTCCGCATGCCGATTTCATCCGACCTAAGCAATCCACGCAATTTCATCACCAAGATTTCGCGTTACAACAAAGTCGTTAACATTCCAAACAGCATGACTATTTTGGATGAACTTCTTCCTATTTCAATTGAGATGGCTAAGAGGAACCTAAGAGGTATCTGGAACTTCACAAATCCTGGCGCCGTGAGCCACAACGAGATTCTCGAGATGTACAGGGATTACATCGATCCAAATTTCAAGTGGTTTAACTTCACACTTGAAGAACAAGCCAAGGTGATAGTTGCTGCCAGAAGCAACAATGAAATGGATGCATCCAAATTGAAGAATGAGTTTCCAGAATTACTTTCCATCAAAGAATCACTTATCAAGTATGTCTTTGAGCCAAACAAGACAAGTGCTTAAAACATAGTTTAACATTTCATCAAGACATCATTTGCTTCTAAATTTTTGTGTTTGGCTACTTAGATTATCACTCATGATTTCATTGTTATCTTCATTTACTCTTATTGATAAGTATTATAGTTTGGGTTGTTTATGGTTTCTAAATAAAGATTTATGCAGGTTTAGTAAAGTTTTTATTTACTATGTTAAGAGTAGTATCCTTAGGCTGTTGCCGTGTAAGGTTGCTACGAATAAAGTTGGCCATCCAATATGGAAGACATTCATTCTTTTATTTTACTCTTCTTTTGTGACTTGTGCTTGTATCATATTCTTGTGGTAATTCAGATTCATTTAGTTTTCTCATTTAAGAAACTAGTTTTATATGACATGCTAATAAATTATTGGTTTAAATATGTCTCTTTGTCACTATTGGAGAGATTTTGGATTTTGTCCCTGGAATTTTTTATTATTTAAATAGTCCTCTTTGAGATCCTTTCTGATTTCGTTCTTGACGCCAACTTTCCATTGTAAAAAGAGTTACGTGGAAAATATTTCTGATTCAATTGCTGATTTATTATGTGATGTGGCTTGTGGATTCATGACCTAGTGGACAAATGCATATGTATGAGAAACAAAAGTCAATTAGGGTTAGAAACATCAGGGTAAATTTTAAGGTACAACAACACAATTAGATTAACCATGATCACCTTTGAATAGGAAAAACGCAAATCACAAGAAAACTCTTGGTCCCATGTCTTTAAAAGCTCAATGAAATGAATGATTGTAAATTCATGACCTAGTGGACAAATGCATATGTATGAGAAACAAAAGTCAATTAGGGTTAGAAACATGAGGACAAATTTTAAGGTACAACAACACATATGTATGACCTCAAGTGATTAGGTTTTCATCATTGTTCTCACTTGAGAAGGCTATGGACTAGGGTTTTGGTTCTTCAACAACTTAAGTCATTTTCTTATTCAGTGTACATCTCAATGAGAAATAGGGTTTCACTTTCATTGGTGTTTGAGTATGTCCATCAAATGAAGACTGGTTAGGGTTTCATGACAAATTACACTTCAAATTGTATCCTTATTTCCAAGGATTCTTCAAGGCACGGTTTTTGTGCTAAGATCATCAAGTAGGGAAGGATTAGACAAGGGATTTGAGGAGTAAATTGATAATGGTTGTGAATCATGGTACAAAAAATGAGGTTGTGATCAAGCATTATACTTGTTGCTTCAGTCACAAGTTAACTTGGATTTTTGGATTCAATTGAGGATAAGGTTCATTAAGCAAGCATAGCATGTAATGATTTCATCTTATGGATTTTTTTGGTTCAATGGTTCACACATGCTATGACTTCAAAGTTGTTTAAAGTGGATCAATATTTTAAGATAACATGCTAAGGTTAGAATGTTCATATATGAAGATTTCTTGGAAGACAAGGTACAAGTACTAAGGCTAAGATTTCAAGGAATTTGTTCATCACTATGTCAAGTATCCATGTCTATGTATTCATCATCTCAAGTTCAAGATTTAAGTGCAAAGTCCATTCATTCAAGTGTCCAAATAATACGTTCATTATTCAAGTGTTCATTAATCATCCTTCATGTTTAATATCATTCATGTTGAATACAACCAATATCCATCATGTTTATTATATGTTATCTACACAACACAAAAACAATTCAAAATAGCTCCAATTTGGTTCAAATCATGCCTTGCTTCATGATACCAAATTATGTCCACAAGTCGGTTCCAAAATCATTTTAATGCCCAAATTCTGTCCAAACACTTGTCCAAAATCAATCCACACTTCATGCCTTTGCATTACACTTTTCCAGCCTGGAATTAGTACACAAAGCCAATCCAAACATTGCCAAAACAAACCAAACCACGCGCCTGCTACATGAGGAAAGAGTTTGCGAAATTACCAAAAACAGAAATCACAAACTAGAACAAAACTTGCTCAGCATGAATGCCAGCTCATTCCACTCTCTCTAACAAACTTGTCCAACCCTAAATACGAGCCAAATTCCTTGTTTACAAGCCTGCACATGTTGAAACCGAACCTATTTTTAGTTCAAATTTTGACCCAACTAACTTTCAAAGCAAGATAAGCAACTCCAAGCCTCAGGATTGGTCCCTAACCTCACTTCAGACTTAGGTGAACTCACTATATAAGTACATTTCCCTCCAAAAGCTTCATTCACAACAATTTCCAGATCTGAAAACTCTAAAAACTCTCTCAAATTTCAGAATTTTGAATTCTCTTTTCTCTTGCATTTCTCTAAAATTCCTTCATTGAATCTTCATCAACATCACACAATAAATTATTGTATGCAACTATGAGCATCTGAAGCTACCAAATCTTCTCCACTCAAGTGATTTTCCATACAAAATAGTTGGAGATGGATTGAATATTGCGAAGTGATTCAAACAAAAGTGATCACATCTACAAACTCCTGGAACTTCAGTGAAGCTTTGCAGATTGTTTTTCACTCTTCTTCGTCACTGTGAAGGCGCATCGGACGCTCTCTGATAGGTACGGTTTCAAGCTCTTCGAACCTCACCATTACAACATCATTTTGCATCATTCTTTGTACGTAATTGAAGCTTTTGTTGCGTTGATCTGAAGCCCTTTCATCATAGGAATTAGTTGATCGTCTATGTGATTTAATTTTAACTTGAAATTCCTAGGGTTTCCTGAGTTTTCCTTTATTGTGATAGTTTGAGTAAGGACCTGTGAAAACTAAGCATATATTTGGATTCAAAGCATGAAATCGAGTGAGACAATGTAGGTTTTATCAATTTCTAGAGATAAAACCACCGCCTCCGCCGCCACGTGGTGACTGACGCGGTGGTGGGCTCATGAGGAAGAAGAAGGTGATTACACCCCATATTTCAAATTTTTGAATCTGTTCGTTGGCCGATACGCTGACGTTTTGATCTTGTTTCAATTTTCTTTTTAATTTTCTTTTAATAATAATTGTGATAATTGTTAATTAAATTCAGAATATATGAAAAATGAATTGGAAGTGGTTTGTGATGTATTGTGCTGGGCCTGCTCCATAGATATGCTGACACACACCTCCTCCTGAGCCCATAACACTCATTTTTTACTGAACTGAATTGTTTTTTTTTGGACAATTAGTGCCTGGACTTGATGTTTGGGCCTGGAACTAAATTTCTTTCACATACACCTTATTCTAGCATGCACCTCCCTATTTGATACATTTGTTTGATTTTTTTAAATTGATTTTCTTTCCATTTTCTTTACATGATTTTAATACTTGAGAAATGATAAAATATAGAAATACATGATTTTACTATTAGGATTTTATTTTGGTATTTTGTTTTTGATGTTTTAGTTTATTTTATTCTTTTGAGTTGATGTTATGATAAAAAAATGATACCATGTCCTTGATGGAATGCTTTGATAATGTTTATGCTTTTTCCTGATAATTCTTTGTGATGTTCTTGAGAACTTGAGATGTGTGAGGTTGATGATTAATATTGATATGCTTTTATTATTGACTTGTGTTGATCATTCCCTTTGCCATGTCTTTGATGAAATATCTTGATGAATTATGATGATCTTCTTAATGCTTTGATTCATTCCTTGATGATTCTTTGAGTGATCTTGACATGCTTTGGGTGCTTTGTGCTTGATGATTGTTGTTGTTTGTTTGTGCATTCACATGACCCTTTAGGATTTTTAATTCAATTTAATCTTTGACTAAAATTGAATTAAGATACACATTAGGATTTCTAATCCAAGCATGATAACATGATTAGGGTTTCCCTTTGATCCTTACCTTAAGGCCATTGATGCATGATAAGACTTAAGTTAGAAGTTTTTCTTGAAAACTCAACCATAATTCCACTTTGCATGACAACAATTAGGATCAAGTTTCCGTTTATACTTTGTTTCTTCTTTGCATTGCATCCTTTTCTTTTAAAAGACAAAAAACTTATTTTCTTCATCAAATTCAAAAATACTTAATAAATACGATACGTATAAATACGCCATGAGCCTTAAGTACATGGAAAATGATGAACGGGAACCTTCCTTACCTCTTCTTAAAGTATTTTGTATGTGAGACACTTGGGTCATTTGTACAAATTATTCGCTCTCATTGTCATAAACTTTAGTATAATACGTATCTAAAATATTTTCAAAACTAAAGGAGAATGTACTCAAATACCCCCAGCCTTGAGGGAGAATTTGATGTATCTCCTAAAAAAACACTTTAACAAATTCAAACATTTTTCCTACGGGCTTTTTTCTTTAAAAACTTTTCAGAAAGAACATGTTATTTTCGTTCTATCGCAAACAGACAGTGTCTAACTGCTAGAATGCAAACTTAGAATCGTCCATAAAAAAACACCAAACAAGCAAACTTTTTCAACAAGAACTACAAAGTTCTAATTCCCTTTGAGATACGTAGGCACTGAGTTGAAAAACTCTTACGAACTCAATAATAAAAATCTTTTGTTTTCCCTTAATAATTTATTCATACATTCCCTTAGTAGTAAGCTTTAGATATATACACCATTTGATTAGAACAACCAGAGTGGATCCCGTTGAGTACAATAGACGTGAGGAAAAATAAAGTTTGATGGCGGCTGTTTTTCTTTTTTTGCGTAGAGAAACATGTTAATGTTCATTGTTCATATTAGTTGATAATCTTGTTCGTCTCCAAATTTTTAGACAATGACAAGTCATAAGTTGTTCATACGGGATGACGAAATTGATGGTCATCCTCTATATGTCTGTACCATATCAAGTGAATCAAGAATACCATGCACTTGCAATTGCTCATAGGTTGTGAAGGACTTAACTAGCGTTATTAAAGACTTTGAGTGTAAGAAAAAAGAGAAGATGAAGATTAAGGTGCACAATGAAAAGAATAAAATCAAGTTGTTTAAGATTGTGTTAATTGTCTCTTGGATTATGTTTTTTGCATACTTAAAGATGTCTACTTGATGAATGTAAAGTGTTTGAATGCAATATT